GTACATAAACTCTACGCCAGTTTCATATATGGAATGCACTTGATCTCTTCATTTGTCCATCGGACCATCTACCCAAATGTGTAGTATCTTTGATAAGCTTTCTCCCTTTGGCGAAAATAATGTTATCGCCTACAAATCTGCGAAAGAATTTTGTTAATAATCCAAACTGACCAAAGAATGGGCCTTTGCCTGAGAATATCTTTGCTTTCCGCGTTTTTTCTTCTCGTTGCTCAGAAACTCCATCATACACAGGATATATATTTACACTTTGACTCAAGTGATGCACGATATAAAAAAAATTATTTTGCTTGGTAAACTAATATGCCGAATGATTTGTTCTTGATCGCTTTGCCTTGTTTACAGACGTTTGCTTAGTGGTCTTTCGGAACAGACCCAGGAAAACTTAAAGTATCACTTTTTAAAAATTGAATACAATGCAACCAAAAACATTACGTTAGCCCACTGCGCACTAGTAAAAAGATTGCACCACGTCGCTTAATATATTTCATTTATATAATGACTTTTCAAAATAAGGTCGTGATCGAAAAAGTGGTCCGATCCGAAACATTTTCAATAGGGTTCACTTTTGGATCAAATTCCATTAAAGCATCGCAAAAATTTACTATCTGCAGGTTGAACACGAGATTATATGAAAAGACATCAAATAGACAGACGGACGGATAAGTTTACATCCATATGGAAAATGGTTTTGATATAACAAAAAGTGGATCTGTGTCAAGTTCTGCTCGAACTTGACATAAACTTGCACACTTGCACTTGCAATTTAGAAATTTGGTAGAACTAGGTAGGACTTTCGAGACCTTGAAAAGAGATAGAAAAGGAAAGTACAAAGTTTTCAAAGCAATGCTACTAAAAACCTTGAAACGAATGAATTTAAAGCTGCAAAGCCTAATAAAAGAACTTATGTTTACAGATCAAGCTTGTAAATGAACGTAAGTTGTCCCTAATTATGCCCTACACCACTCGTGGTATGTGATATACATATGTAACATCCAGAAGCGCTTACGATAAAGCCATCTTTTACTGTACAGAAAGTCATTCTGAAATGATTTACACCTATTTGTCCGTCTGTCCGCTTTTATGATTTCTGTCCATTCACTATTGTCCTCAAGCTACACGTCGCTACTTTTGAGATATTTGGACGAAATTTGGTACAGTGACGTGCTTTGAATCAAGAACGAATGCTATTCAAAATGGTTTGGGTAGGCTCGCTTTTTCGATCTCTCCTCATATAATGCACTATTTTGAAAAGTCATTATACTGAAAAAAGTTTGAAATTTTTTGTTTAATTTCTCGACAAAACTCGCTCGGTATAAAAAATCTGATTCAATTAAGACAATTTTTCGAACCACAGATCTTATAATGGTTCGTAGGAAAGCTGAATTTTAATGTATTAAAAAGTTATAATTTTTAATAGTTCAAGGCGAAAATTAGTTCATAATAGTAAACTGACATAGAAATCAATTTTGTCGAGTTTGGAGAACGTAGATCTAATTTTTGTATATCATCCCATATAAGGGAAAGCCCTCATGAAAAGTATGCTTTGCATGAAAATTATGTATAACATTTGCATTAGACATAGTGATGTAGAGTACATAAGAGTCGGCTATGTCCGACTATAACGTTCTCACTTGTTTTATGATAACTTTAAAAAAGGAAAACTTTAATTGGCAATAGCTGGTAACATAGTACAGTTATCGATGCGTAATTCGAAACAATTATGTATATTATGCGTATTTTAAGAGTTAAGTTTAAGAGAGAGAAAGAGGGAGAGAGAGATAGAGGGAGGGAGGGAGAGAGAGAGAGAGGGAGGGAGAGAGAGAGAGAGAGAGAGAGAGAGAGAGAGAGAGAGACAAAGAGAAATATTAATCCAATGACGATTGCATAGTGATGGGTAAACTCAACTCACAGTTGATAAAACTTTGGGAAAAAAATATATATAATTATATATATATTGGGAGACCGCTTATTGGCCGTAATCTCTCGCTGTGGTATGCTCGCCGAATGCTAGCTCCCTCCACAAGAATTTTTTTTTTGTCGGAACGTATAGTTTGGTGAATTTTTTTTATTTACTTTCTCGATGTTTTAACACAATACCCCACGAATTTTAAAAGAAAAGAATCCGAGATTCGTGAACTAATTTCTATTATACGGCATTATATAGTAAGCCTCGAGAATAGATCTTCATTCACTACGATTAGGAATTTAGGTTTTTAATTTAGCACAGAAGACGTCATGCCCTGGTGGCTGTTGCCCGAAGTAGAAGAGAACAAGAAAAACGGAACGGTCCAAGGCTCGGACGACAGTGAAAGTCACCTGGTTCGTACTTCCTACAAGGTTGTCTCTTGACATCCTTACCGTACAGCTGTTTTCCGATTGGGTTGCATCAAACGTGTCGTTTGTCATGTCAACTTAATACAATGGTTTACTTTACCACTAACTTAACCTAACACTTCCCTCTTCGCGACAAAGGCCGTGTGAGGTCAAAACGAGAGATGGCTTTATATACAATATATATTGTTACTATTATAATTTATTGATTTATGAAATATGTCCACAAAGATATTAAATATAAATTTATTAGTACACCTAAGTAAATTATTGCTCATAAGTACATACACAGGCACAAACTTTCAGAAAATTTTAGTAAGTAATTTATTGTAAAGCTTATCATCCGTATCTGTATTCATAAATTTAAGATGGGAAACAAGAATCTCTTTAATGTGTGTGAGAAAAATATCAAAATTTTTTATTAAATTTTTATTAAAATCATTTAATGATGAATTAAAAGAATGGGCGGAAATGCTTGCATATGATCAAATAACCGCAGGAAATAATCCGAAACGTGGAAACTTTTATGATTTATTAAACACAGGTTCACTTTTTAACATAAATTTATGAATTTTACCGCTGACTTGCTTGTTTAGTAGGTCAGCACGTACGATAAGGTAGGTTAGTAGCTTGAATACACAGTGAGCTCTCGACAACGAACACCGCAAACTATATATTACAAAATGGAAAAATTTACATAGGTTGCATACGCATTTTTATTTGCTTTTTACCAGATTTCCTTTGCGCTTTTATGTCAAAGAACATAAGGTTACATTTTTATATGCCTTAATCTAAGCAGCCTCGGAAAAGATGTCATTAGGCATTGAAGAAAACTCTTTTGTTTTATAGTCATATAAAAAAAAAAATTAACCTTGGAGAGATTGAGATTTTAAGATCATCATCCGAAGTCTCAGGAAGTAAAGCAAAAAAAAACATTGCCTTCTTTTCTCGTGCAAGACGGATAGGCTGATGTAATTTAGTAGAGTCTAGTTTTGTCAAAGTTTATGTTCATTAACGCGGGCCTTTTATGGGCTAAGGGGAACTTTTCCACTATATCGTTATATTTAATAATGGGAGCCATTTACGAATTGTGTGGCATTCTTCTATCATGTTATTGTTTTTTATTATCAAAGCATATTATTCAAAACCAGACTTACTTAATCAAAAAAATAAGGAGAGTAACTACTGCTAACGCCAAAGCATATACTCGACGTTAACGCTGTAGTTAGTAGCAATGCTTGCCATAACTAAGGACATTGCTGCAGCTAATGTCAATACTAATGTTAATGCCAATGCTAGCGCCAATGCGAATGCCAATGTTGCAGTTAATGCTAGTGTTGTAACTAACGCTAATATCAATGCAGATACCATACTAATGATAATAATGCCAATGATAACCTCATACTAATACTAATGACAATGTTGCAACTAATGCCAATGCTAAAGCTTCAAAGTGTTGTAACTAACGTCAATATCAGCGGTGTTTAGCATAGCACCAATGATAATGCCAATGATAATGCCAATGCTAATACCATGCTAGTGTCACACTAATGCAAATATCAATGCTGTAGCAAATGCTAATGCCAGTGCTGCAGTTAATGCTAGTTATGTAACTAATGCCAATATCAATGTTTATACAATATCAATGATAATGTCAATGCTAATTGTCACACTAACGCTAACATCAATGCTACACTAACTCTAACGTCGATGATGACGATTATATTCGCTCTGACATCAATGCTAAAAAGCACGATAATGTTGGCTTGTAAATGTTGTTTTATCTTAAAGAAAAAATTAGGCACAAGGAAACCCAAAAAATGTTGCAAAAAAGTCTTCAGCAAAGTTAGTTTCTGTCCTTTATTATGGCACAAATGTAGCTGAGGAGCCAAAAAAAAAATATCAAGATCCCGCTGAGCCCTTTACAAGTCCATCGCAATCTGACGATAGTAGCAATCCCTACTAGAAAAAGGTCAATGAGTAGACATGGAGTTTATCCAGATTTTTAATATTTTGAAGTCGGTGGTACCGCTACTGGTCTTAAAAATACAACAATTTCGCATAGTTTTTAGAAAACCATGAAAGCTTCATGCAAAATCTTTACCCTTGAGTCTCAGTAATTTAGCTCAAAATTTAAAAGATGGCTATATCAAAAACTAATAAATGGAAAAACTCAGACCGTAGGAGGTCAGGCTCTATAAACTGTACTTATCGAAGAAATGAAAGAAAGTAATGACATAAATTATATAATAATTTTCTTAATCATGCAGTGCATCTAAATGTAAGACAATTGTTCGTTTCGAGAGTTGCCACTATATGCCCACAAATAATTTCAATGCAATGAAACAAATTGTAAAAAATATTTTTTTAGCTTACGACAATTTTCTTCATCGGATTTATCGCGACAATCGGGACTACCATCGCATTTCCAACTAATCGGAATGCATTGTTCACCATTTTTGCATTTAATTTCGTGATGTTTGCAGTAATTCACTGTGAAGTGTGTTTAAATATATATATAACATATATATAAAAATGTATTCAACAAAGTGTAAAATTGTTGTATTGTTCTGTTGTTTGTCTTTACAGAAAGAGTTGTACAATTCTCTCTTAATTTAAAAAAAAAAAAGGAAAAAAAGATCACTTACTGCACATTGAAGGTGTTTCATCAGAACCATCAGCACAATCGTTCTCTTGATCACATCGCCATCTGTTGGGTATGCAATTACCGTTATTACAACGGAATCTACCCTCTTCGCAGGAGGACTCTGTAAATGAAAGAAATAAGATAAGTAGAAAATGTCTTAACGGTTAATTAATTTAAAATTTAAGTAAAAAGGTAGACTTTGTGAAAGAAATGCGATTGAAAGATAAAATAAAATCATTTGAAAAACTGCATAGTAGGTAAACTTTCTTCTTCTGCGCGATAGATCGCAACCATAGCAAATAAAACAGGTTGGAAAGCTATATTTGGCGGGCGCTGAATCTCCCACACACACCACTATGCTTTTCGCATTCTACTCCCCAAGTTCTTTTATTTGATACCCATATCGATGGTATTATTAAGAGAAAGTTATTCGCGGTGTCTATCATGGTCATTTTAAAATTAACGCATTTGTAGGCGGGTAATATATCTCCATTTGGGGAATGCACAAAATAGTTCTGAACCTTCTCTTGTGTATGCCTTACGATTAATACGAAAAGGTAAAAAACTAAAATTTAATTACTCGTAACTTTGTCTGGATACGGTCGATTGGTTCCATTTTTGGACCTAAAGAGTTGACCTTAGTAGTAATTTCAGCCTCCTAACTTTAACAATTTCCGAGTAACGAGCAAAAATCCAAAAATTTTTGTTAAAAAAAAGCTTAGTTGCGTTCAGTTTACGCTCTATTGAGTGCCTCCGCTCTGATCAATTTGGCCGATTTCCAATACCAACTTGCGTGCAGAAATTTGCAAGTTTGCTACCAAGTTTGAAGTTGATATTTTCATTTTTGCGAGAGTGCCAACAAAGTACACCTCACAAACGGACGGACGGACGGACATGATTAAATTAACTCAGAATTTCACACTGATCAAGGATATACATACTTTACAGGATCTCTTAAGTTTCCTTTTGGGTTTTACATACAGTATGGAAAAAAATAAAATGAGTGCACCCCCATCGTACAGTGGTGGGTATAAAAAAAAAAGTGGCAAAACAAAAAATTTTCGAAAGACTATCTTAACAAATCATTTTTTGAAGAAAATTTATTTTATGCGGTGAAGAGAGACCGTATGAAAAAGTCCCTCTTAGAAAACTTGTTAAAATATGTCTTTCCAAACAAAATATATGTTTTTTTAATTCCCCAATAGAATTGAGCTGGAGACGGACGTCTCCATAATCTCTTATTAAGAGCACAAATTAGTACGTCTCGGTTCGGTAAAAGAGATTACAATTAGTATTGTAGGGTATGGAATGAAAACTGCTAGTCCTTCATTTAAGTGTATCGTCTTCAAGCTATATTTAACTGCATGAATTATTACATTGAGGCATACACAACATAATTTCTTGGAACTTTGGATAGAAATAGTACTTTAGTTCCAAAAAAATGAAATTTGCAAGAAACACTACATTTCTTGACTAACTCAAAGCATCGGCGAGGCTAAACGCTTGTAAAGAACAGTGGATGCATCACAATCTTCAAGCTCTAAACAACCATAACAGGGAATATGCAAGTCAATAACAGACCAGATGTACTAAAGTTCATTTTGGCTTAAGGAATCTTATGTCCAAAGATTGATGCGTCAAAAAATAGACATAATATGCAAGAAATCATGATATCGTGAGTTTTTGCTGTGAAGGATATAACAAAGCTAGCGAGCGAAACGTTTGCACTTATGGCCTTATATAAAGAGCTGTATTAAAGGAGGTGATCTAATATTGTGCTGCGTCCCACTATAATGCTTTCACTTATTTCTTTTCTTTTTCTTTTAGATATATGGAGGTTTACAGTAATTAAAAAAAGGCATAAAAGTAGTCCGAGTAGAGATTCAGTAGAAAAATTGCATAAATTAACTTTACACTGATTTGCTTCTTATACTTTTTTTCTCCATATAAATACATAGATGTATATATATCGCGTATTTGTAAAGTAAATAAGACTATGGGCTATAAACTGTGACAAACCAATAAAAGTTTTTGGTTTTCTTTTCATTTCTACTTTCACTCCTTAAAATCTGTCTAAGAAACTAAAACTAACAACTTCAGACTTATGACACCTGCTTTGGTACATGTTATTCAGAACATGACAAAAGAAAAGAATGAGCAAATAAGAAAATTATATTCGGTCGTGACCGAATCTTTTTACCGTTAGCCTAGGCAAGACTAAAAATGAGGAAATAAATTTCCATACTCTCTAATGTGGAGTGGGCACGGCGGAAATTTATATTGCGCATCTATTGCAAGTTTGGAGGCGATAGCTTCACTTTTGCGAATGGAAAAATATTTATCACACGTATATTACATAGTTGGGCAAACGGACAGATGGACATGCCTAGATGCTTCCGAAATTTGAAAACTTATATACTTTGTAGGGGTTTACAGTTTGCTTTTGCGCGTTATAAAGGCGTGAAAAAAAAAATTCAATTTTGATTTGGGTAGGCGTGGTCAATTTTTTTCTTATTTTACAGGCGCTACAGCATCGGTCGTAGCATATGCATTCAAATTATTGTACATTTATCTGCTGTGGTTTTTGAGTAATGAACAGAGGAACAATTTTTTTCTCGTTTATGAAACAGATGTCTTCTCAGTTTATGTAGCATCGTAGACCCATTTTCAATATCATCCCGCGTGCAAGAACTTCCAATGCTTCTGCTAGATTTGAAATTGGTAGCTTTACTTTCGGGAAGAAAGTTTACAAGAGACCTTATATTGACGGACAGATGGACATGTTTAAATGGATTAAGATATTGATTCTGGGTTCTCTGAAGCTTTCTTCTGGACGTTGCAAGTGTTTTGACAAAATTATATATATCTAAAAGAAAAGAGTAAAAGGGACTACGTAGAAAAATGTGAAAAATACTTTGTGATCTACACAACACATTGGTTTATATTTCATGAAAAAGTTAACCGAAATGAAATTAAATTTTCAACCATTATTTAAGAAGAAAAAGGAAAAGAAAACAGAAAAAGTTTTGCTGCTGACAAGGATGATAAGTTTTCCTTGTTGTAAGCTTTGTCAGGAACGTGTTGAACTTTTTTGAAATAGCTATTTTAACGAAGAAGAGGAAAAGTAAAGTAAAAACATTATTAAGAAGAAGGTAATAAAAATTACAACATTTCTATATGTATGCATCTACACCATCACAAAATGACGGTCTATTAGATGCTTCCATTCGTTTGTTGCACTGTGTAACAGTGTACTTGTCATCGACTGCATAAAGTACATACTCATATGTTTATTGTTGGTTGAAGATGAGACTCTAAATAAGTTTTGCGATTTTCGTCCCTTAGTCCAAGAACACGTTCGCATGTTTGCCGGTCGATTGTTGGAAGATTGACATATGCAAAAAGGTTAGTAAGGAATGGTAAACCTTGTGATATATTTAGTTCTCTATATATGTGTTTGTTATTAATATTGCCCGCGTTACGTTTAGAATATAAATGGAGATATGGAAATGGAAAAACGACATTATTACAAAAGCGATATGCGATTTTAACTCTTATGCATTGCATATAATAAAAGAATATTCACTCAATTTGATATTTCTCACAGTTCGGACTATCGACCTATTTTTTCACATTACAGTAACTGAGTAAAAGAGTTCTAAGCGGTTGTACCACTCACTCACTAAAGAAGATAATTAATACAACAGTGTATGAGTGCCAAAGGAACACTCTGCCTAAGAATCCGAAACAGAATATCTTCAACATTTCCTGATCCAACAATGCCAAGGAAAAAATATCACTGTACCGTGACCAACATTTCCCTTCTTCTCTGAAGTGACTATAAATCCATAAGCTTCAAACTATTTGCATACGGGGATAGCGTTACCGATGAATCCCAAGCCTAGCAGTGCAACGCAAACAGTCGAAATTTCCGTTGGATGGACTCAATAAGATTTGCATAGTATCCATAGCTTGGTAATCGTTGTACAAGTGAATATTGTAGGGTTAGTGTAAAGCAGGGTTAGGCAAGATTTTTTGCCAGCGGGCCAACTTTAATTTTCATAACACTCCAGAAGTGCGAACAAGATGGGGTAATAAAGGTAGACGTAATTCATGTGCAGCATCGCTATGTGCGAACAAATTGTGAATTATCTGAAATTTTAAACGTATACAACATTATGAGTCGGTAGTTGCCCGTGCCTGCTTTAAAACACAGGATCAATCTAAGCTTTTCATGATATAAGTAACGTAGAATTCCTTAGACCACTTTTTATGAGCCCCAGAGGCGACTTAGCATTGTTAGCAAAAGTTTTAATATAATCAATGAATATTGAAACGATGTAAAGTAATTTGACAAAGTATTAGAATAAGTCCAAGCCGCTCGCGTGCAATCATATCCATAATAATTAAAGAAAAAAGATGCTTGCTTTCAATTTACAGCAAACATTGGTGTAGAATCTCCCCGATTTGCTTTCAAAAAGTGAACGAAAAAGTGATATTAGCTAACATTCTTCACACAGCTTTCGTATAACGGTTTTAGGTTATTATGGGAACCGAAAGTTCACCCAATACAAACGTAACTTTTATAACTTTTTCATTTTCAGATATCTTTTGAAGCGACTGTACTTCTCCATTATTAATTAAGAGTCTTTAACGTGCTTTAACTGCTACTCACTGCTTGTTACAAATATGTATTGAGACCTCGGCAGAGACCGGTAAATAACTGTCGCGACACTCAAGTCAACGTTCGCGAACTTAAATCTTAGAGCAGTTTGCAGCCATAGTGAGTGAGCTTTCGGTAAATTCGCAACACTTACCGACTAGGCTACCACTTTGTAAATTTCTTTCCAAACTTCTTCACTCAACCGTATTCCACGCATAGGTGACAGATATGCCCCGAATGGTCCGCCATATTAAAGGGAAAAAATTTGTCGCTCTGTTCAAATATTTCTATATTGTCAATCATGACTTAAACATAAGTTATGTCAGTCTCTGTTCTCCAGCTCTAGCTTTAAAGTCTCGACGATTTTCGCCCATCACTGGAGGATAACTGCAACGGTCTGCGAATATAGACTTCAAACAAAACAATATATATTCTATAGAGGATCTCTTCAAACAAGG